AAGACACATGTAAAGCATATAAAGAAAAAAGGAAGCATCACAAAGCACATAGGTGTCTCATGTCCTTTTACGATGCATGCACACAAATTGGTAATAACTCTTCAATTGCTGTATTTGATAATGTTTAATTTCATCCAATTTATTGTTTATACTTTACAAATACTAACTTTTTTAGTATTTGATGTAGTCACAACAGCTTAAGCGACAACCCATGTATAAGGAACTTTTCAATCGCACTTAGAAACATTATGGGGGACAAGATGATTTTGTTGATAATAAGTCTAAAATTGTTAGTGTAAGTGAAAATAATTATATGTATATGTCTTTTTAATATTTTCATTATTACAGTATAGTTTTTTTACTTTAACTCATGTGAAACATGCACTTGTAAGAAAACTATGCTTTTTGTTTGACTTAAAAGTATGGTAAAGACACATTTATTCATCTAGACTTTGATCCGTGGGCCCGATGTCAAGTTATTGATGGGTTACAAATGATTTGCATCCATGTGTATGGATTTGAGACTAGGCTACATGCAATGAATATATTTGGGGTATCTTCGTCCTTCTTTTGTGGTAGCTCTTTCTATTAAGCTTGTGGTCTTACAACCTTTAATTCTACTTTTAGTTTATTGAGTGAAGTCGATGATTTTAAAAGAAATGTGTCCAATGTGTGGAATGAAATCAAGGAAACAAGGTAATCACAAGTCTCAAGAGGAAATGAAGATAGTCTTGATAAGGCTTACCCATATGTTCGGTGGTGATTCATTTATTAGAGTTGAATCGAATATTTCAGAGTCGAACCTTCGAGACAACATGGATCAGAAGGTAGTGCTTAGTGACTAACTTTTTATTGTTGGATGTTATTGTTTGAGGATGATGGATTTATTTCGATGGTACTGCATTTATTGTTGAAAGTTTATGAATTTCATAGGTATTTGTGGAGGATTATAATGAATTGATGGAAACTATGAATTTCTTATTTGTGTATATAGGCATTATTGGTAAATTTTATCAAAATGAACTAAATGTTTCATTATGGTATAATATATGTGCATGTTGATCTGTATGGATGATTTCAATAGGTTTTGAAATGTAAAATTAGGTCTAAAACCTCCAAGGATCGATCCTTTAAAAGAAAAGATCAATTTTCTAAAATAGGTTTTGCCTTCTGAAACAGGGTTTAATCTAGAAATTATTAATTTTTTACCTTTTAACAATGGAATTTTCATCGCTAAAAGGCTTTAGGGATGAAAATATATCTAATTTTCTTACAAAAATTATTACAAAAACCAAGTAGCAACTAAAAATTTTGTCGTTTAAAACTTTTAGTGACAAAATTTTTTAATATAACAAATATTTTTAAAAATAATTTGACAAAAAATCTGTAACTAATTACTTTACAGACAAAATCTACAAGTCTATTAGTGATGGATTTTTGTCCCTAAAGACATTATCAATGAAAAAAAAATTTTACTTTTCAAAAATTAGCAAAAGATAATTATATTGAAAATTATTTTTAACGATGAATTTATCGAATTAATGATGAAATTTTCCTTTACTAAAAATAAAAGTATTAGTGACGAAATCGGTTTCAGCAATATAAATTTATCATTGATTGCGAATTTTTCTTCGGACTTTCGATGACAGAAAATCGCTAAAAAAAATTCATCAATAATAGTATTATTTCTTGTAGTGAAAGGAGTGAAAGGTGACTGGATGCGTTGGTGGAAAGAAAACCAGAGAAAAATATAAAGAAAATTGCAAGAGAGAATTCTAAAATCGAGAGATTGTCAATTTTGCCAAAAGATCTCAAATAAATCATCTTGAACTCTATTTAAAAAGCAGTTACTTGCGGGAAGGATAAATTATGGAAAATGGTAGCAATATGCAAAGTCATGTAAAATATGGATAGTGGGAAAAGGGAATTTATGAGGAGTCAAAACCTGTCCTAGAAAATGTTCTAGGTCATAAGCAGTAATATATAGCTAGTCGCATGACAACACACTTAGAAATGTGCCACCCATTCAAAAGGAAATAGAAAGCACTTGTGTTTTAAGTAAAGGTAAAGAAGATTTCTTAACAACCTTCATCTAGGCCACAGGCCATTCTCTCCACTACATTCCAAAAATAGGGTAAACTCAGTTTTAATTTCGAGGTTAATTCCATTGTTCTCCACGTAGTAACGCACCTTAGCTATTTGTTCTGAATTACTTTTAAATTCGTTCTGCAGAACCTGTACACTATACTACAATGCTTGCACATTGCACAACACTGCTCGTGTGCTGCATCGCAAGCATGTTGCTCCGCACTGCTCGTGTGCTTTGCTACAAGCATGTGGTGTTGCTGCGCTGTATTGTCAGCAAGTCACAATCTCCAAAGAGAAATCATGTATCTCATATCATTTATACATTAAAATATAATTTAAGTATATAAATATTTTATTATTTTCAAATTATAAAACATTATTTATAAGATAAATAATAAAATTTAATAAATTAAAATAAATAATATCTTATAAGTTAATATGAACTTTGACATTTAATATTGGAATCACTCTAAATGTATTATTGCTACGTAGTTGAGGGTCCTTGGAGTAAAGGAAGATGTAATCGTCTCAAACTCAATAGGCGAGGCAGATATACACATTGCTCACAGGTGTTAGGTGTGAATCATAATACTACTCCTGCCGTACCTGGGCGACACTACAAGCATGCTGCGTTGTTGCCTGCGTACTGCGCTACACTGCTTGCACATACCGTTACACGCTTGCAAGCGGCGCTGTTGCGCACGAGAACATGTCAGTAGCCAGAACGAGCATCAATATTACAAAAAATAATATCATATTATGATTCAATATTCATTTTGTTATGATATTTCAATTTTATTGAATTTTGTAATTTTATTGATTTTTACTTAGATAATAATGAAATCGAAATATTTCATAGTGCAAGTGATAAAATTATATCAATTTTATGTAATCTTGAAAAAAATCAATGAAATTTAAATATAATAATAAAAATTTAATATTATTTTGTAACATAATGACAAATTTAATTTTTTTATATATAAGAAATCGAAACCTAAGGGAAATCGGAAAAGAAAAATTTGTAAGTGTTGAAAATGAAGCTTTAACTTTATAAAAAAATCCACGTCCTAAAAAAATTGGATAAAAATTTAATCTTAAATAATAAAATAAATAATGAAAATAGCGTTACTTTGCTTTTTCTTTTTTCGGCTTGGTATTTGGTGTGGACTAGTGGGTTTGCACCAACTTACTTTTATTGGAGCATGATAGGTCAAAGTGAAATAGGATGGACCCAACCCAATCATCCTATTATGCATGGCAGATTGGCGATAGATTTTTTTCGTAATTTTTTGCCTTCTGGTATCAAGTATCAAGTTATTTATATATATATATATATATATATATATATAAATTCACATTCAAATATTACATTTCATGCAAATAATACACATCCATGATTTGGGCATATGGGTGATCGTCAATCTATACCATCTAATTTAGTACAAGAATAAAAAGGATAAATATTAAAATGAAATCATACTTTGCGCTTATCTAAGGAACAACTAATTCTTTAATGATTCGTAATTTTTTAATGGATAATTAAAACATACCAACTTTAGTTTTATTGATCATAAGAGGATGAAAACTAATAACGCTAAGTTCAGCAGTTGATGAGTGCAAATACTGCGACACATTGAAGCTTTTATTTAGATTTAATAATTTATATCTTTATGTCATATTTGTTTTGAATCAAACAAGTTAAAAATATAAAAATGATCATATTATAATTCATATTAACATATAAAATATAAAAATAATTTTTAATATTTATTAAATTTATATATGATTTTGTTAAAATTTTAAAAGGCATCGTTTTTATATTTTTTTTATTACTTTTATTTCGTTAAATTGTGTTTCAAATTATTATATATTTTTCAACATTTGAAACTTGTAGATATGCTTTAAGCTTATCTAAGGAATAACTAATTCTTTAACAATTAGTAATGGATAATTGGAACATTGAAACTTTGGTTTTATTGATATGATAACTAATAATATTAATATTGAAGCATTGACTTAGATCTAATAATTTGTACATTGATATTATATTTGTTTCGTATTAAATATGTATAAAATATAAAAATTATTATATTATAATTTGTGTTATATGTTAAATACTAAATATATTTTTTGATTTTTATCAAACATATTTATGAATTTTGTTAACATTTTAAATTATATTTTTTTATATGATTATATTATTTTATTATTATATTATCATATTATATTTAAAATTATTAGGTGTAATTTACATTCGAAACTTTTGATTATTCTTTTTAGTAAGGTTAAAAAAGAAAGAAAATAAAAAAAAAATTGGTAAAAAAAAAAAAAGCTCTTAACTACAAGGGTTGGCAGCCAACTAACTTCCGGTGGCTTCCAACCCAACTTAATTTTCTTGCATTAGTTTTTTTTTTTAAATCCAATTAAATAAGATCGGATAATATAAAAAAATTAAAATTAGGTCGAGATTAAGTTTTAGGTAAATTCGATCTGATTTGATATATATAATTTTTAATTTTATATTTATATTCAAAGATAATATTTATTAATTTTAAATCGAATATAATTTATATAATATCAGATCAAATTAAAATCGAATTTAAAAAAATAAAAAAATTAAATTAAATTAAATTTTAAATTATAATAATAAATTAGATCAAATTTAAAATAAATAAAAATTTATTTCAACCTAACTCGTTATCACCCTTATTAATTACCTCAAAAAAAAGAATTTAAAAGCATCACGGTAGTAGGATTTTGGATGGTCAAAACTATTTTTGAGTATTATTAATTAATTATAAGTAATGTCTCGGGTCTGGCCACAAAATATTGTAAGTAATGTGAATAAATTGGCCCTAAGTGATTAAAACCAGACATAAAAATATAGTTGTCAATATCGTAACGCGTTAAATGTAACATTCAAACAACCAAACAAACCCACTTCAAGAAAAAAACAACTCTTCTTTCCTCTTTTTCCAATCCAAAAGCCGCTTTTTAACTGTTTCCAGTATCACTCTCATTCATTTTTTTTACATTAAAAAAACACCCAAAGGAAAAAAAAAAAGAAGGAAATTGCTTCAGTTTAAGAAATAGAAAGAAAAAGAGAGATTGGTTTCTGTTGACTGAGCCAGAGCCGGCAAAAGCCGTCTCTGTTCTATATTTTTATTTCTATATATAATTATTTATAGTACTATCAAGTTTCCAAGAATTTCATAATATATATATATATATATTATATTATATGCATACATATTTAAGTGTACGCGTTTGTCAAAAATCAAAGAGACCCACATCCTAGGCGATTAATCAAATTTCTATTTTTTTCTTTGTCTTTCTCTCTGTTTCTCTATTTCAACCTTATCAGATTTCCAGGTACTACGAATTTGTTTCCACTGTTGTAATCTTCTGAAATATTTCTGGGTTTTGATTGTTTCCTGGATTGGAGTTATTTTCATATATTTCTGAGGTTTTGTAGCGTTCTCTAATTTTGAAAACTTGGGTCATGGGGGGTGACTTTGAATTGTTCAAAAGGATTTAAAGCTAGAGCTTGGATTTTCTATCGATCGTGTTGCCCAAATTCTTCAACTTTGGCTACTTGATGGATTGGATATAGAGAATTTTCGAATTCTTTGGCAAGATTGATAAGAAAGGATAGAGTTAGCTAGCTTGGTAGTATTAATTTTTAGATGGTGAATTAAGGTTGTTGAAGGAGGTTATTTGTTGTTGGTGATTTTAACTCTGTATATATACAAACATGGGTTGCATGAGTTCTAAGTCTGCGGCGGTTGAAGATAGCCGTGAGAACCACAAAGAGAGGCTGACGCAAAAAGGGTCATTGGATAATCTTGTCGCACGAGCTAATTCATCAAGAAGACAGGAGGTTGTTCGATCAAAGGATAAATATGATGGTGCTGACGTGAAGGTCTTGTTAGTCGATAAGAAAACAAGTGGCTCCAATCGTTTTTGTTATAATGATCAGGTTGAGAAGAAGAGGATCATTGATAAGTTTGAGGTGATTGAGAAAAATAAGGTAGAAAACTGTGAGGTTACAATTGCTGGTCATCATCCTGGTTCAGGAAGGGTACTGAATAGCATAGAGGGAGAGCAGGTTGCAGCAGGGTGGCCTTCTTGGCTTGCAGCCGTGGCAGGTGAAGCTATCCAGGGATGGGTACCGCGACGTGCCAATACCTTTGAGAAGTTGGATAAAGTAGGTTCTTTTGCTTAGCTTAATTAGTCCTCTATCACATCTATTTTGAAGCTTAATCGATGGTCACCATATACTGCTAAGCTAATGATTTCACTACAACTCTGGAAGATGATTTTGTTAAGAGAATTATGCTTTATATTTGCTCATTAGTTTGCCTAGTTGAATAATTAAACTTACATCAGTTTCACTGTCACTTGGACCTTTTATGATTGAACAGTTTTTGTATATTTATTCTATATTTTTAATTTCCCTAATTTTCCAAATATACATAGCCCTCATCTGCAGACAAGTACACTAATTTGGGACATCAACAACTTCAATCTTTATATGACCAGAGTAATTGGTTCTGACAAGCAAAGATCTTTTTTTTTTTGGTGAAATAATGAAAAGATCTAGTCTATTAGTTTACCCTTTTTGTAGGTAACCTAATCACACATCTTTGAAGATCTTGTATTCTATAGTAGTGTCTATGGTGATTTAGTTTGACGCAAACTCATCCTATCATGAATCTATATGAATTCTGTTTTCCATGTTAATATTCTCATGTTCCTTCATTTGGATTTTGCATGATAGTATTTCGTTCTTGCAGATTGGCCAGGGAACTTATAGTAGTGTGTATAAGGCTCGTGACGTTATTCATAATAAACTTGTGGCTCTGAAAAAAGTGCGGTTTGATAATCATGATCCTGAGAGTGTGAAGTTTATGTCAAGGGAGATTATTCTTTTACGAAGACTTGATCATCCAAATGTTATTAAACTGGAGGGCTTGATCACATCCCCAATGTCATGCAGTTTATACCTTGTTTTTGAATATATGGAACACGATCTTGTGGGACTCGCATCACTTCGTGGGATCAAGTTTTCAGAGCCTCAGGTAATATTATAGTGGTTTTTATAGTTATCTCAGACTGCTATCCAACATTGTCTCTTAATAGAGCTGTATCCAGACGCACCTGGGTGCAGCAGTCGCCTACACACCTTTAGTTTGCCATTTATTAGGATTCATCTTCATGGGTTTAGTGTTTGTTTAGTTATAACTTTCTTTCCATTTTTTGTCAGATTAAATGCTACATGCAGCAACTTCTAAGTGGCCTTGATCATTGTCACAGCAATGGTGTTCTTCATCGTGACATAAAGGGTTCAAACCTTCTCATTGACAGTAATGGAATCCTAAAGATTGCAGATTTTGGATTGGCATGTCATTTTGATCATCACGATAGTGCTCCAATGACCAGCCGTGTAGTGACTCTTTGGTATCGACCGCCAGAACTTTTGTTAGGAGCTTCACATTATGGGGTTGCAATAGATTTATGGAGTACTGGTTGCATACTTGGGGAGCTATATTCTGGAAAACCTATTTTGCCTGGGAAAACAGAGGTACCTGGTTCAAGAGCCTAATTTTAATGAGTAGCTGACTTGGTTCTTTACTACTAATAGAATGATAGTTGTTATTCTAAGAGAATATTTGAGAAGAAAAATGACCTCAACTTCCGATTCTTAACTCAGGATTGTGATGATAAAAAGAAATAATATGGAAATTGCTAGATGATCTGATGAAATACTGATTTTGCCTTTGAGCAGTGATTTTTACTGAAATTTTGTGCAATTTATGCTTTTTATACTTATGCTGAGGTTTTCTTGGAGTTTGAATCTCATGTGAATAAAGAACATTCACATGGTATCTCTCTGAGACTTTGATTGTGTCCTAATAATTTATCTTGTTTTATTAATTTGTCCTTACATTGAACTTGATTAGACTTAACTGGTAATCTTTATGCTTACACCATTGTAAAGGTGCTGAAGCTGAGGTTTGCAAGGAAAAAGGCAGTTCGGATATGTTTTAATAAGTGGATTTGTTCTATATTTTTTGGAATGAGACATGTTTTTCTTGTGTGCTTGCTTACCATTCTTCCATCATGACGCAATATAATTTGAAAATCCAAATTTCTCTTTAGTTGAAATTATCTCCTATCCGTATGCCGATTAATATTCTCAAAGTAGGCATTCTATTGGTAGGTGCTTTTTTTTTTTTAAGTTTTAGTAAATGGAAGATATGAATTAAATTTTATATACATAATAGGTTGAACAATTACATAAGATTTTTAAGCTATGTGGCTCACCATCTGAAGAATACTGGAGAAGAGCAAAATTACCCCGTTCAACAGTGTTCAAGCCTCTACACCCATATAAACGATGCATTGTTGAAACATTTAAAGACTTTCCTTCTCCTGTTGTTAGTCTCATGGAGACCTTGCTTTCGATTGATCCTGTTCATCGAAGAACTGCAGCTTTTGCTCTGAAGAGTGAGGTATGTACAAATATGATCAATCATCACCAATGCATTTATATATTAATGAGGATTGCTGCGTGCTTTCCTTTTTTTTTTTTTGCATGGATGTAATAATGTCTAGTCAATTCAGGATCATTTTACTGACCTCTTTCTAAATACTGGAGTTAAAACATTTTTTCTAACTTTCAAGATAGTTTTCTGAGCAGAACTAAGATGGTTGTGTTGCAACCATGAAAATGGTCCTTTAACCAAATTAACTTGTTTTTAGCTGTTGATGAGTCATCAATTCTTTAACTTCCCATGGATAACTTAAGGTATCCTGTTCACCTGGAATTTTGTGGTCTTATTAGCTGTTATCAGTTTTCACTGATTCTTTTTTTCTCTGCTTTTTTTGTCAGTTCTTTACAACACAACCTCTTGCATGTGATCCTTCAAGTTTACCCAAATATCCTCCTAGCAAAGAGATTGATGCTAAGTTGCGGGATGAAGAAGCTAGAAGGTACATCTTAAAATTGGTTCTTATCAACTTCAAAAATCATCATGGTGTATATTTTATTTTGGTATAAATTAATTGTCTGTCTTATTATCTAGTTAGGTACCTGTGTTGTTATCTGCTACAATTCTAATGTTGTTAATTGCAAATGAATGATTGAATCCTGATTAGTGGTGAAATGCACCAAAATCTTTGAAGTTGAAATGTGTGCATCATATGAACTTCACTTCTTCCTATTAAAATGTCTTCATAATTTCTGTTGTACTTAAGGTTGCCAGGGATTGAACCTTGGTCACTAGAACTAAGATTCTAGCACTCTACTAACAGACCACAAAGTTGTTGGCATCTGCTTCATAAGATTAACCTCATCTTATATTGCCCTAGGCAAAGAGCAGTTGGGAACAGGGATTCAAGGGTAGATTTGGAAAGGAGGGGACAGAAGGAACCACTTGCAATACCGACATCCAATTCTAATACTGAGCTGGCTGCATCAATGCAGGTAAGGTTTTTCCTTTTCTTTTTTTTTTCTTTAAAGAAAAAGAATCTGATAGCTATTAATTCAAATGCTAGTCATAAGCTACTAGATGACATTGTTTTCTGAATTTTCCTTTTCTAGTAAGGGATTTTAAATTTGAGATATTGATTAAAAATTTCTTAAGAACGTAAACCTTGTCTGTAGTCACTTTGGTGCTTTTCAGTAAGGATAGGAGGAAGAAAGTTGAGCATCTCTTTTATGTTTGTCAGTACACTCTGATGTTGTACAGAGATTTGCAAAATGAAGATGGATTGTCTTTCTTTATGGTATCAAGTGTGTATTTGTCATGGTGGAGAAATGCAGCTTACAGAGTTACATGCCAAAATGGGTCATGGGCAATCTAACATGGACAGATGAAAGAAATTATAGCTTTTTTAATATGCATTTCTTCACTAGATATATGCACTAACAGAATTCTTTTGGGACCAAATGTGATTGGATTTTTAAATTCATCCTTTTCTTTCATCTATGTGTTTATATGGTTGTAAATTTGGTTTTTTGTGGTTCTCCTTCGAAATGTGCCACATTAACCTTTGTAGCACCATAGAGCTGTTGTTATATGCAACACCATAGAGCTGTTGTTTCTTATTTTCTTCCCTCGGGGCCTTTGCCCCTTTATTCTCTATAGTTAACCATATTCAATATTCCCTTTCTAATTACAGAGAAGACAACCTCATCCTAATTTGAAGAGCAGGAGTCAGATGTTCGGCTCTCGTAAAGCAGATGCCTTTTCTGGTTTTTTGATTGATCACCCTAGACACACATGTGCTGCGAAAGAAGAAAGTAGAGATTTCTTAGAGTACAATAGAAACAAAATTTCACATTCAGGTCCATTGGTTTACGCCAATTTATATGGGAAGTCTGAGAAGGAACACAATGATCCTCCTATGGTCTCATCCAGAGCTAACTTATCGAAGTTATCTGGTTTAGCAGCTTCTAGAACTGTGGCTTCTGAAGATCACAGAGAGAAACCTGGACCTTTGACTCTTGAAGCATTAAACCAAGCAGGCATGTCTCACAGATCATTTAATGAATTAGAGTCTACAGGAAAACTGGATGTCAGATGCCATATGCCGAAGACTGCAGAATCCCCACAGACAGGAAGTGGAAGAGACTACGCTAAGGAATCAAGTCTGGTAAGTTTCTTGACATTATTTTTTATTTTAAAGTTTATACGGAGGTCACAGTTACAAATTGGTCAAGCATTTATAACCAACATTTATCATTGACCACATTACTTATTTTGGTATAAGCCACTGTTGAATCAATGGTTCCTTAAGTTTTTTAAAATTCTTTTTTATTTTATAAGTTTTCTTGAATTCATCTTTAATCACGGTTGCCGATTTTTCCCCTTTTCTCAATTGTATTTTTGCCTTTCAAATCAATAGGTTTAGCTTCCCCTTTAGGCTTCAATATTTATGTTGTCCAAATGATTTTATTTCCCTTTTAGCATTCATGCCTTGCATGCATCTCTTCTAAAACCTGGCTTTTGTTTAACTTATCATCATCAATTGTAAAACCTGCATTCTTATAAATACTATTCTCCAGCATGGTCGTGGTCCCAGGGGAAACAAAATTTATGTCTCTGGTCCATTACTTGCTCCATCGGACAATGTTGATCAGATGCTTAAAGAGCATGACCGTAAGATCCAAGAATTTGCTCGAAGAGCAAGACTTGACAAGACAAAACTTGGGAAACTACAAGCTCAAGGGAAGCAGGTGACAGAAAATTCATTGCTTGTCTCTGCTCGTGGAGCTGGATAGATTTTTTTTTTCTCTCGTGGTGCAGCTGGAAAAGTCATCTAGCCTGATACCCAGAGTGATATCAGGATCTATTATGTATAGTGAGCCAATCATTTAATTTCCTTTGATTTGGTAACGTATAAATGTGAATTTCATACGATATTAGCTCTGTCTTTGTAGGTGGTTAGTACTTACATCAATAATACAATCAATTAGAAGGATTACAATTTTGAAACTATTCTTGTCAGTTGTCATCATATCTTATTTCATAGAATAAGAATATTCAGAAATGATATAAATGTGGATAAAAACAGTGTTATCTTGCCATCAGATTGATTATAAAGTTATTTGATTTCAGATTTGAATTTGATTCAGTTTCATAGGTTTACCTTATCATGTCGATATCTTTCCCTAGCTGCGAAAGGAAAAGGATCATCTTTGTAAATTTTGCTATTTTATCTGAAGTTAAATAATACATTTTTGTTTAAATTAATTTTTATTTATTTTCATATTCGATTTTTAATTAATAAATATCAATAATAGATTTAGGTGAAAATGTATTATTCACTTTGAAATAAAATTGTGGAAAGTTCTACTACTTAGAAAGAGAATCTCTATACCAAATTGTAGATCGAATTTAATTTTAATTGGAAAAAAAAATTCCTCTATGCTATTTCAAAATCAATGAAAATTTTTACTATTATATTTAAAGGTGAATAATGTATTCGTAAATAAATTTATGGTTGAAATTTAATGATTTTGTATTAAATATAAGATTAATTAAAAATTATTTAAACATATATTAAATTAAAAGTAATGAAAACTTTCATTGGTGGATAGGATATTTCCCATTCCGATTAAAGGAGCCTAAACTAAGTTGTGGATGGTCTATGTTGATGGAATATAGCAGAAAACCCTGGCATATTTCTAGTCTTACAGTTTTAAATTACAAATTTCACTTCCATGAGAAGAAAAAAAAAGTTTTTTGAGTAAAAAAGGTTAAGAAAAGGATCACTCTGTTTCGCTGCAATCTATGATAATATAGCTTGCATTAGTTATATAATTTAAACTTTGAAAATCTTGAGTTTTAAATTCAGATGGTCAGGGCTCGGGATATCTGAGCAAAGAATTCTTGGGTAACCGTAAAAAAGTTCTTACGGGTCACCGTCTAGGACCCCTTTTAACTTAACTATGGCCTTCCATTAATTCTATTAATTAATTCGATGACAGGATTAGGGATATGCTGCCACAAAAAGTCACGGAAATTATGGACAAATTAAGAGTCTGGGACTTGGAAATTGGATGAAATAAAAGGGCTCTTGACAGACAATGGTTGTCAGACCATTCAAAATATCTCTATTTGCCAACAGGAAGGTGAGGATAAACTAGTTTGGCCTAGCAATAATTACGATGGCAGGTATTCTGTGAAAACAGGATATTATCATGTTATAAAAGATGCAGTTCCAAGGAAAATTTTTAAAAAATTCATCATCATCATCATCTTCTGTGGACGAGGCATTATGGAAAGACATAAGAAAGCTACCGGCCCCTACTAAATAAGGAACTTCATGTGAAGAACATGTCATAATGCAGTGGCCACTAATCATAATATGTGGAAGAGGAAGGTGAGGGTCTCTCCTGTTCGTCCTTTTTGTGAAGCACGTGCATATTATTTTTTATATGATCGGACAAAGTTGATTTGGTTTGAACTGCATATTGGGAGTAAAATAAACAAAGCTCAGGTTACAACCTTTGAACATAAAAGTTAAAATGAAAGAAGATACAGTGAGCTTGCAAGTGAATACGGTTTTTGCATGCTAGATTAAGTGAGCATGTCACTTATTATTATTATAATATAATTAATTAATTAATTATAATTTAAAATTAGTTACAAAATCTGTTAAAATTTTATATGCAATACATATTTATAAATGATATATTTTTATATAAATTTTTATTTTGATTAGATAAATATATCATTTTAATAAGAAAATTATAGATATACTTCTTTGGATTAATTGAAAAATGAGAAATCCCTATCATGAATCAGTTTTATGACTTATCACATGATAACCCCTTAATTTTTAATTTTTGACTTCTTTTTGCGGGGCCCCCTTTCTTTTTCAATTTTTAAAAGGTGTGAACAATTTTTTTTAAACTTTTTTTTAAAAGTGTGAGACCCATACTTTAATTTTTTTTTCCGGTTTTTTTAGTTTAGATTTTTAATTAGTGACATCCACTTGTTTTTTTTTTTTTTTAATTTAAAAGTGCGGAGCTCACATTTTTTGTTTGTTAATCTTTTTGGTGTGGGATTCACTACTTGGTTTTATTTTCTATTTTAATTTTTTAATTTTTTAGTTTTTCTTTTGTTTTTAAAATTTTATGGGGCTCACATTCTTTTATTTTTTTGTTAATTTTTTATTTTCATTTTTCCTCTTAATTATTGTTATCTTTTTCCTTTTTATTATATTCAATAATTTAAAAATATATAATTTTAAAGATTTTTGTGTATGACTCATTAATTTTTTTGGACTTTTTTCTACTTCTTCCTTTTCTTTTCAATAAAATTCAAAATTTTTTATGTTGATTTTATTTTAAAAGTCACTTGCTATCAAGTGTACACACATGCACTTTTTTTAGTTTTTTTATTTTTTACATAATTGATAAATTATTTATTTATTTATTTATTTTTGACACACGCTTTATATCAATGATATTCAACCAGTCAAGTTATTTGATTTTTTTTTGTTAACTCTTTTTAATAGTTAATAAATAATTTTTTATATTTTGATTTTTTAATATTGGCCATTTGATATTATTATTAAAAATATATGTTTTATCCTTTTTAAATTTTTTCTCTTTTTCAATTTGATTATTTTTTAAAGAAAATTATATTAGTTGATGTGTTAGCGTCACATCTAAATTTGATATTTTTAAAATTTTTCAGTCTACTTTTAGTTTTTTTAATTCATAATATAAAATTTTTGATAAAAACTTATTGTTGTTGATGTCACTTGCGAACTTAATTTTCTTCCTTTTTTTATTTTTTTTTCTTTTTTAGTTTTTAAGGTTTTTTTCTTTCTTTTTTAATTAGATCATTTTTTATATAAAAAAAATGAATGTGTATATGTGACATCTAATTTTATTTCATTGTGATCTTTCTTCTTTTTTTGTTTTTGATTTTTTAAAATTATAAACATTTCTCAATGAAAGAAATTAGTTAATCAATTTTCGAAGAAAAATATCAATGTGAATGTATATGAAAAACACCCGTATTTGATAGATTTTGGTTCATTTGGATTTAATAGATGTATTTTTTTTTTTTAAAATTGAGAATGAATTAAGTTTTTTCTTAAAAACTTAAGGTCAAGTCGGGTATGAGTTTATGGTATTTTATACTATCTGGATATATATAAATATATATTTTATTATTTTATTTCATTTTATATTTCTATTAATATATCATTAAAATTATTATTTAATACCTTAATTTAATGAATCTATATGTCATCTCCATTTGTCTTCCTTTTTTTAAAATTTTTTTTGTCATTTCTTTTATTTCTTAAAAATTTTTTTGTCTTTTTAAAATTAAATCAAATTTGTAAACAAATAATCAATCGATGTAGAACTAGCAAAACGATTCATATCCTAAGGATTTTTATTTGATTTGATCTAATACGTGCTATTTTTTTTTTAAATAAGGGATAAGATCGATGCATTCTTTTTTTTTCAATTGTTGTCAAATCGAATGAGAGTTTAAGGTCTTATGTCATGTTTCGAATATATATATATAATATTATATTTTTAGTTATTGATTTTGTTTAATATTTATATATTGTTATATTAATAATGTTATTATTTAATATCTTTATTTAATACAAATACTATATTTATACGAAATTAAAATTTGTTTCTTTCATGCATCCAATTATCTTATAAATAAATCGTGTATACATATGGATAAATATATCATCCGCATTATTTTTATCTTTTTTAGTCTGACACATATAATCTCTTTATTTTATAAAAAAATCTTTATTAAGAAGTTGTACCCACTTTTAAATTTTGTTCTTTGGCCCTACCTTTTTCATTTTTAAATATAGACTTGCATTATTTTCATGGGACTCACTTTGATAATTTTTTATTTTTTTGGGTTTAAATTTTTTATGTATTTTATTAGAATTCTTTTTTCAATACAACCTACTTTTTTCAACTTTTATCCTTGAACTCTTTTTTTCTAACATTTTTTTCTTTGGTATCATGTGTAATTTTTTATTTTCTTTTTAAAAATTTTTCACAAATATTTTTTTTTGAAACCAACTTGATATCAAATTTTATTCATTTTCTTTTTTATAATATTTTTGAGAAGATTCAATAAAATTTTTAATATTTTTTTAACTTTTTTATATTAAATGTATACCATGTGTTTTTTTTTTATAGTTTTTATAGTTTTTCTCTTTTTTTTTTTTTTCAGTTTTTAGATATTTAATAAATAAATTTTTAGATTTAATTTTTTATGTTTGACTTAATCTCAAGGGTACATCACATGTTAAGTTATTTAATTCTTTTTTTATTTAATTTTTTCCTTTATTTATTTAATAAAAAATGGAATATTTTTAAAAAATTTAAAAATCATTTTATATTATTATTAAAATTTATAGTTTCTTGGTTTTTTTTTTTATTTTATTCTTTTCAAAATAAATATTGACAAATATGATGATAACACATTCAGATTTGATTTTTTAAAATTTAATTATTTTGATTTTGAGATCCACTTAATATTAAATGTATGCTGCGTGTTTGTTTTTTTTTGTTCTTTTTCTCTTTTCTATTATTTTTCATTTTTATGTTTAATAAATATTTTAAAGAATTTAATTTTTTGTATGACCCCTTTAATGCTAAATGTATATCATGTATTTAGTCATTTGCTTTTTTTTGTTTCTTTTTTTCATTCCTTTTATTTTTCAAGTTTTTTTTTAATATTTAATAAAACTTTTAAAATATTTTAAAATTTCTAAAAGTGTGGGATCTATTTAATATTATTGATTTAATATATTTTCTTTTTTATTTGATATTTAAAAAAATATTAAGAAAATTTGTCGTCACATTGGGATTTTAATTTTTTAATCATTTTTTAAAAATCCATGATATAACTTTATTTTAAGTATTTCATTTAATTTTACATTTATATATGTATTATATTAATAAAATCATTATTTAATACCTTAATTTAATAAATTTAGTTTTTTCTTTGTTTTTTATTATTGCAATATGCCGGTTTGAAAACCGCACCTCTGGATGTGAAAAATGAATAAAAAAGCCATTTTAAAAGAAATCAACACTTAGGAGTTGCCATAAATCTTTTTAGGATGTGATTGGTCACAAAAAATTTATTTTTAATACAAAAATTAAAAAAAGTTTAAAGTTTATAAAAAAAATATTTT